GATGAAAAGAAAAAACTTTCTTTTCCTAATGTCTTAGCTTGGGAAATTTTTCATTTTTTTTTTTTTTTTAGTTGTTGCACAGTAAGATTTTACATTTCCTGCTATCCTCTTCCCTCCTCCTCAAAAGACAAGAAGTGATGTCTCTGTGAGTTTGGAAGAAACAAAGGCATAAATATGGCTCAGCTCTTCTCTTCTGTTTTTGGATCTGCTTGTCTACATTATCTATGTCTTCTTTTCTACTCCTGCAACCATAAGACCAACACTTCTGGGTCGGGCGTCTCCAACCCATCTCTTAGAGGCTGGCATGGGCACCCACCTGTCTTAATTATCTCTATTAGAACTCAGGTTATCCTAAGGTGTGTGTGCCATTCAGATCCAGGATGTAGATAAATCATGGTAGAATGGGGTGGGAGTGGTGGAAAGAATCATGGTTTGTTTCATATCTAAACCATATCCTCCAGCCCAGCTTTGGAAATCATAAGCTCACTTTAGCTTCCATCTGTATGATTCCCTCATCAATAGCTCACCTGGTTGTAGATTCAGAAGAGAGGAAAGGGGATGTTTATTTCCTTTAGATCTCAACAACTATTATGGTAAAATATGTAAAAGTGGCCCTAAGAGACAATTTAGAGAACAAGGGGAAGTCAGGAAAATGCAGGGAACATGAGGCTCACATTTCTGATTTTGTACTCTCAAATTTAAACATAAAGTTGGTACCACAGTGCTGGATGTTTTCTAAGCATCTTTAAAAATTATGTGTTATATATGAATCTCATCTTCCCATCCCTCCCTAATAATGTAAGTGTTATGCTGAGTTACTGGCTATAAGCTCACGTGGTTTTCCATTTAGCACACTGCGTCACTGCTGAAGGTCAACAGCTTAGTGTTCACAACACTTTCAAATGTCTTATGACTTCATCTTTTAATGCTGTGAAACCCAGTTAAGCCGATATTAGACTATATGACAATATTCAGTCAGTGTAAACTATTTGGCAGCAGCAGAACACAAACGGAGAGCTCCCTGTACACTTCCAGCCTCCATAATCATGACTGCAGAATCAATTGTCATTGATTCACACATAAAAT